GGGAGGGGTTGGGGGGAGATTTTTTTTGGTTAATCGTCCTACAAAATGTAGTTGCCAACACGACACTTGTTCTAACAAGAATGCATGAAAAATAACATTTTGTGTTACTCTATATTTCTACAGCAGCATTCCATAAAATATATTATTTCCTACTCATGGAAGAATTGTCTAGGTAGGATTCAATACATTGTACAGAATACATTGCATTTGGTTTCCATACACAAGATCAGGAATTTCCAAATGAACGAAAAAAGAAAAGGCAACTTTGCTGTAAGATCTCTTTTCAGAAATCTTACAGAAATGTAAGATTATGCAATATGTTCATTCAAATAAGGCCTTCAAAATACATTATTCCTTTACTGTAGCATTATTCACTACTTGAAGGGCAAGGATGATAAATATACCAACAATAACAAAATGTTTATACAAAAAAAGGTTCAATTGTATTCCTAAGAGACCGTAATCTTGTCTTGCATAGTGATCTTGGAGACCTATGGTCTTGAGTAACGCAGTATCAGGGTACAGGTTTCCCTCGCTTTATGCAGGGTCTGTATGTGCAAATTCGCTCTTATATGATGACCCCTTTTATATAAAAAATTTGTTATATGCAAGGTAAATTCACTCTTATGAGATCGGTGTGGTGGGAGCCTGCAGTCAAGCTGCTTTGTGCAGTGCATTGTGGGAGTGTCACGCACCAAAATATAGTCTCCTGTGTGGATCTGTGCTCCTCATTGGTTGTCCATGACACGTGTTTATGTAGTTACTGTCCTCATTACGACAGTGCCCTGTCTGCTGTTGGTGAGTACCGAAATTGTCTAGTAAAAGCGGTAGAAATGGGCCTTGGGGGTCAGTACAGCCGAGGTCTTGGGACGTATCCCTGTTTGTTACATTGTGAAGTGGGCTCCCTTTATGTGGATTCAAGTTATGTGCCGTTTTGTAGGAATGCATGTACAGCATAAAATGAGGGAAACCTGTACCCCAAATGCTTTGTGGACACCATTACATCATCGCTCCACTGCCCCCTCTAAGTAGGTGCCCCACTCACCCACCCCTAGTTACATTACTAGCAGATGAATAGCACTAGACCTGCTTTTCAGATAAGGTAATAGTGGCAAAGTCAGAGGCAGTCACGAAGCATTCTTCTAACCACTGGACTACATTTTCTCACTAATTAAGTTTCATGATGGATTAGTTAAATCCTCTACGTGCTACTTTGGGTGTGCATGCATGAATCAGACTCCTTAGTTTCACTTTCAAAAGCAGTAAAACATGTTAGGATCTTTTTTTTTTTTTTTTTTTTAAGTGACTCAGGTCTAAACATTTACCTAAGTGTTAAGCTGGACCCTGTAATACTCTCTCAGCATGTATTCATTCACACACACACACACACACACACACACACACACACACACACACACTTTATATACATAAATCTGGAAGATATTGGTCAAGTTAAAGAAATTCCCTTACTCAGGGAACAACTTGAGTTCACTTTGAGCCTGTCTACATACTTCAACCCACCAGCTCCAACTCAATACAAGCCATGCAGGGAGAGGTAGTTAGCCATCTTAGTCTGAAGTCAGACAGAAGACAAGGCAGAGTTGCATCTTGTAGATTAACTATGTCTGAAATGCATAACAATCTCTGAATTAATTTGTCTATAAGGTACAACTCTGTGCTGCCACCAACCATATAGACCAGGGCAGGCAATTATTTCGGGTGGAGGGTCACTTACTGAGTTTTGGCAAGCCATCAAGGGCCGCATGATAGGTAAGCAGGGGCAACTAAATATTAATTTTTTAAATTTTTTAGGGGCCCTGTGGGCCAGATAGAATGGCCTGGCGGGCCGCATCCAGCCCGCGGGCCACATTTTGCCCACCCCTGATGTAGACAGTCCTACGAGCCCTGACCTCTCAAAGCAGCTCTCAGCTGCCACTACAATATCTTTATGAACAGCTACAAATTGGAAAATTAATGTTCTGATAAAGAAAAACAATAAAGAGCCTATATACACGAAAATATTTTCCATCTTAAATCACCAGCTGCTCACAGAAGGAGTCATTATTATTGGAAACAATATGCTATTTCATGCGTTTCTCAGGACTTAAAACTATCACACAGACAAAGAAAGGGTGGCTGAAGCATGCATACTCTGCCCTCACTTATCCTTTAAGACGTAAAAATTCAGTATTAAAATCAAATTTAAACAACGTCAAATGCTCAGCTGAATATTACGGAACAAGGGTTTAAAGCATCACATTTCCATTCACTTTAACAGGGAGCATCATCCCAGGAGAAATTACTTCATCTTCCTTAATCTGGTTCATGATATTCCCATTTTGTTATGTCAACATTAGTCAAAATGGCTGGTGCACTAAGCTGACTCCTGCATGCTGATCAATACAAAAAACTAGAAGTGGGTCACAACGGTGGAGACAGAGACGGGATCTGCCCACAAAGTCTCCTCCTTGTTTAGACACCACACTAAGGCCAACTTCCATTTCATTATGATCTATGCACTTCCAACCATGTATCCTGCACACTGTTCAAATATCAAATATTCAAGCATCAAATATTTTTTTAAACATAGCAGCCTCTGATTTGAAATCCCTCAATTCCAGAATGGGAGGTATTCAATTTAAGGCCCTTCAGGCCAAATTTGATGAGGTGCTGAACACTCACTGACTTCAGTAAGAGATGTAGCAGTCACTTTTCTCAACGGCTCCTGCCTCCCCAAAACTTAAACCAGAACTGGATTGGTACCACACTCTTGCAGGTATTTGCCGTATAGTACTCTACACTAAATAACAACTTATCCATTACTGCTATATTCTACTTATATTGTCAAGCACCTAAAACAGGAGGGAATGGGCAGTCCTATAACCCCCTATTCATTGACATTACTCTGAGTTAACAACTGTATTAATTAATTTGGAATGATTCTGCATGACAGGAACAAAAGGAGACATGGTTGGTATCTTTGGTATCGGTATTAAAGGACATGCATTTAAAACGGGGTGACCATTCTAATAAGGAAGGTTTCCTTCCTCTGAAGCATTTTTGTCTTCTCTGTGACAGCGTAATGCAGCTTACCCTCTATCCTCAGCAGTTCTATTTTTATAAATATGACTCACCTTAGAACTGCTTCTGAGTCACTGTTGTTCTTCCACCTTCTTGATAACAAAAAAAACGTAGTGAAATAAAATGGAAACAATGGGCCATTCCTAACATTCATCCCAGAATGTTGGAAAATGGGCGTTTTAAAGAGCATTCAGCGATTTGATCAGAAGTAGGCAGGGAGAGAAGCCACAGGCCCCAATAACCTCTCCTTGCGACTTTTCTGTTGCCCCATCTATCATATTGGTGCAATACATAGGAAACTGGAAAAGCCAAATCCTGATCTACATGCATTGCAGCGATTTCAGAGGCATCTCCAAAGGTGAGGCAAGTAGAACAGCTATTTCTTTTACTGTGGTCTCAAAAGTGTTCTTTTTTTTTATTTTTTATTGCTGCCTTTTTATTGAAGACATTCTCTTAAAAGAAAAAAGACGGCAAGAAAGGCAGTGAAGCTTGGCGGGAGACCTGGAGAGACATGTCCCAAGAGAGCTCCCATGTAAAGTCTCGAAAATGCAACATCTAATCTACTTTGGGACTCTGTGGACTGTGAAGGATACAAGTATTTTGCAGATGGTGATCCTGATATGAAGGATGACTAAAAACCTCTCCAGATTCAGTCTTCCTAGTATATCTAAAAGGAGGGGAAGAGAACAAAGCTCCCTTGCCTCTCCACTCACATTACTCTCATTTAGGTACCTCCTAGCTGCCTCCTCTCTCTCTTCTTGAATCTAAGAAAAGAAGGCCCCCCAGCTACACACTGTATTTATGCCATGATTAACAATCAGCTGATTGTTGGCCCGACAGGGACTGTAACGTGGCTAGTTCCAGACCGCTGTGCTGTCCTCCGGTGGAGCTAACTATCAGCTAGTTGTCAGCACCTGGCTTTCAATTTGCTGATATGGGGGGAGCCCAAGTATGGCACAAGTCAGAAATCATCCCCAATCTCAAAATCATGCATTCTGCCAGCACGGTCTTTATCTAGTCGGCTGCTGATTGTTGGGTTCTGGGATCAGATCCCGTCATGCCCTTCAATAAACATCTGTCAGTGGCCTGAGATTTCCTTGCTTTGCCAGGGGAAACTCTTCTCAAGTCTGCCTCATCATGGGACTACAGGGAGTCGAACTATTTTTCATCAGCACTTTCCCCACACTGTTTACCTATTAGCTATAAAAATCACGTTGATTTTTTGCGCCATAGAAGGGAACAGAAAACCAATGCACACAGGAGCTTTGCTGCAGTGAAACGAGTTGTAGACATTGCGTGCTCAGGGCCCGAGGGACGGATGATCAAGTCCGAGTTCCCCTTCCAGGAGGCTGAGAGTGAAGCTACAAGCAAGGACTGGGGCTAACATTGAGAACCTCCAGGCATTAAATTATTTGGGGGACGAATTTTGTTTCTATCCAACGCTAATCATTTTCTCTTCGTCCCCCTAAGAGTGTCCCCATAATTATATTTTGTTTGGTAAAGAAAAAAAGATAAATACTCAATTTGGTGGTGGTGACTTTCCCCACTAGTAATAATTGCTCTTGATTGTACACAGTAGACAATTCTCTTCTCATGTGCTCAGTGATGCCTTAGCTATTCCACTTAATTACTAACCATAAAAAGCGGTCAAGTAATACTAGGCCTTTGCAAACCAAATGACATTTTATTCAAGTCTCATTTTTCTTGTGGGTTCTATTCATAATTATGCATCTGTTTCCCTGCAGCCATCTTATTCATTCTCACACTCCCTCAA